AATCTCGCGATCGTAACTGTGAATCTTGGCGCGACCGAGCCAATAACCAAGATTGCCTTTCGTTTCATCGTTGCTCGGCTCGGCCCGTAATCTTCAACTGCTTCGTAAGACGCCCTGAAGACGACCAGCGGATATCGTCCAGCAAGGTTAGGCAATTGCACGACCATTTTTATACTCTTCCCTTATCCCTTTTTTTTCTCCTAGAAGACGATACAATCCCGTGATTCATATATCCCGCGGACCCATTATCGTCACCTCGGTCATGTTACGAGGACAATATCTAATAAAAAGCGAAGTGGCTCCGGGCTTACGTCGAGGTCCACTTTCTTTATATAAAGCTATCCCTAAAATTTCGTTCGTCCTCGAAATTTTGTCGGCCGTCAATTGTAGAAGAAATGAAAAATTGCATAAATAGCGTCGCGACTTTCGCAATCTGGATAAAATAACGTGTTTCGGATTATATAACCGAGCATCTGATCCCGGATACCGCTGGAATAGTTTTGGAAATTTGTGTCGTCAAAACATAATTATAATATAAAAATATATATTTATAATTATACATTTAATATATTATATATATTATTATATATATTATATATATTATATATATTATATATATTTATTTATGTATACATATAATTATATATTTTCTCGGATTATGTTATATAAAAAGAATTAAATAGCGCACGCATAGTACTTGCAACGTTCGACTACTTGCTAAGATTAATAATATATCATTATTTATGAAATCTTTTAGATATTAATTTAATATTATTTTGAAAAATTTACTGTTTAATAATGTAAAATTTTTTACACATCATAAAGCTTTGACTTGATTGATGAATGATAATTATCGAATCAAACCAAGCTTGCGTATTATCCGTTCAATTATTTCCAAATAATTTGATTGATGGCCATGCGAGCCATGTGTTATAGGTTCATAAATGGTTCCCGATAATAGGCTGTTAGGAATAAAGTTCCACGATCTTAGCAAAGTTTCTAATCGAAAGTTGATTGCAATATCATAACATCGTTATCCGTTAATCTTAATCGATACAGATAATTTTGACATTGCGCGCATATTTCTTCTGTGTGCTCGTCTACAATTTATACACGATTCCAGTATTAGTTCTGAGATTGTTTCGGACGTTTCATCTCCGTTATCTGCAGATTCATGTAAACAAGATACATGTGACAGCGTTTCGTGTTATCTGTAGTGATTGCTAGGCGAGGATTTCGCTCACCGGCAGTAATAGATTCATTAGGGTAGACATCACTGTACCACCCCAGCATGCCGTACCGTCGCCCCTAACTCCGTATGCACATACCCTCTTTCATTTTCTGTCATTCGATCACTCATTCGCATGTAGTATTCGTGACTGACTCGTCTACTCGTTTAATCGTATTGTTATGTAATTAGGTAATTAATCTCAGCATGTTTTATTATGTTTACTTATTTTACATAAAATTTTACATATAATTATTTTCCTTTATCTGAAATATGTAATAAAATAAAATAATATTTGCTAAGAAATATATGAATTTTAAGAGAATATTCTTTATATAATGTTATAATTCATACACATATCTTATTCATCAGTTGAAGATAAAATTATTGAATTCAGCTATCATCTATTTTAAATCTTTCTTATTCATAAATTTAAAATATTCATTCACGTCACATGCGAATAGACGTGCGTATTTTTCAAATGTAACCCATTTTCAATTTAATCGAACTGATCGATTATCAATTTTCTAAACCTTGTTCTCTCTTTCGCGCAGTCGACAGATATCTGGCAAATCTGATTATTGATCGGCAATCAATATCGTTGCGATTTGGCGACGTGCCAACGCATAGCATTCCTTTATATTTGTGTTACGTGCGTGTATTCGAGCAACCATAGTATTGATTGCAATGTTTCTCGCTTGCAAGCGAATAATCGAATTCGACGAGTGAGCAATGCTTATCTCACTACAGATTAATCTTGAACAAATGTAATTTTTTTCGTGTTTTCGCGCACACAAAAAATACAAAAAATCTTGTCTGACATTTTAAGATAGAAATATGGAGACACTTTTATATTTGACTTATATTTTTCATTTTTAAATTACTTCAAATATTGACACCGAGCAAGTAAAGATCGTTTCTTTGCGTTTTGCAATCTTTTAGTATACTGGAGTTTTAATTTTACATCTTTTCCGAATTGTATGAATGAAACAGATGCAAATGCATATTCATGATTTTGTTCACTCCCACGCGAAGTCTTCTTCTTTTTATTTTTTGTTTCCAAAGAATCGTATTCCCATCGACATACTTTTCCCCTCGACATTCTTTTTCATAATTTTATCGTGATATTACATGAAATGCACGTGGATGATGCAATATTGCGTTTTCTCGTAGTATTTCTTTTTCAAATTCCACTAGGAATCTATCTTTATTACTAAGTTTATAGGTCGTGCCCTTTAATTTCCTGCGTGCATTGTTACATCTTCTTAAATGTTTAAAAGTTAAATAGTAAAAAGTTTCATTCGAACAATGCTGGAAAAGTAGCTGCAGTTGAAAAGAAAGAAAGCAATAGATCTTCGCTCCCGTTTTATATTCCTGCGGCGAGGGTGGGTCATCAGTTGCCTCCTGCGATTCTGCTCCTTTGTGAAAGTTTGAATACGTAGACAACGTCTGGTTTCGCAAGGACCGTTTCTTCCGCAGCCTCGGTATTCGGAGTTTCTTCGTCGTTTGTCATTCGCTGACAAGATGTGCCGCGAATTCAGAGAAGAAGGTGAAAAGAGAAATCACAATTCGTCCCCCTTTCACGTCGGCCGAGCCATGTGATAATTTCTCGGATTCATTGTCCAGGAATTAATTCCCCATTTCGCGCTTCGCGACTCCCTCGGCGCAGCTCCTTTGTATTTGACCGTAGAGAATTAAGCCCTTGCGCGATAGAGAAATGCGCCGGAAATTGAGGATATCCTGGCGCGTGATCGATTCTACACTGATTTTATCTACCAGTTTTATCGTATAGGATTGCGCGCATTCTATCGAAATTGTGGATCCTTTTAGAGTTATTCATGTTTTTAAATTCAATGGTTTAAGGATGTTTTGTACAATCCCAGCAAAAAGTCTGAAAATCAATATTGACAAATATCCACTTTTGGTGTATTTTGAGTATGAGAAATTGTGTAGAATATTACAATTTGATCTTAGCTACAATGCAGAGATGTATTTTTTAATATCTATTATGTTTTTACTGAAATATTCCAAATTTTGTTAATCAAAATGATTAACTTTTGGCAGAGAATTTCGTCTTGTGATAGATACATGGCTAACTTCATTGAATTATATTTAATATCTTTTAATCAGTTAGTACTTGTATAATATTATTTGACCAAATATTTCTTCTGTATCTAAACTTTTGCAAATTTTAAACAAATTCTGAATATTATTTCCATGTGTTTTTGTCATTTGAATCGACGTGGTTATACGTTTCCCATAAGAACACATGTTAATTCGGTGCAAATTAAAATCCTTATAACTTGTGAACACTTTAGTGAATCGATTTAAAAATTGTACTGAAGATTCTAAACATATGTAAGGACATTCTGTACAATTTTCATTAAATTCTCAATATTTTGAAAATAGGTACAAAACATCCTTAAGTTGTATAATTTTATATAACTTGACAATTGTTAAATTATTTGCGCGTACATAATTTTACATTAAAATATGTTGACGAAGAAGAAACAAACTCCAATTTATTAAGATATAATTAATACATGTCGTATATTCATGTCTGGCAAAATACCTACTGTACTATAGCAATGTAATATCTTTGATGTAGAAAATAATGTCAATGGGCGAAATTGATAGCCGAGCCTTTGTTAAATAACTCTGAATATATTAATAAAGTTTAATGCGTTAGATGACAAGATAAATGCTCAAAGCGTAATATATGTAATACATCATTAAATAATTACGTTGTGTACGTGTGTTCGATGTAATTACTCATATATTTCATATGGAGATCGATCGAAAACAAATTACCCCGCGACAAAAGACTGTCCATTGCATTCCGGGTGATCGATATCCGCATCCTAATATTACGGGCCTTTGTGTCTGGCTGAACAACGTTAGCTGGATGACGCGACGAACCAGACCGATTTTCGGTAATCATTTTTTTCTCCCATTCGGCAAGTTTGTTCAATATATTCGCGACGGTCCCTGTCAAAAGCAGCAACCAACATGGTTTACGGCGTGCCACGTTCTCGTTCCTCTTTCGAAGGGAGGGAACAAGGAAGGATTTCGGTAGGACCCTCTCCGGTCGAGCATAATGCGCCCATTATCTTCAGTCCTTTCGTCTATTCTGCGTGTGTACACTGCTTATATAATGTACCGGGTGTCGGTGTAATTTCGCGCTTCCTCCACTTGTTCGATCTCTCCTTCTCCCCATCTTCTTTGCTCTCGTGAATGGCCATGACACGATCGTAAAGCCTAAAGAGGCATTAGACGATGCTTGAACGAGTCGACGAATACGAAGAGGATGAAAGGGGTGGTTGGTCGCGAGGGTGAAGAAGGATAGAACATGTCAAGCAAGAAGACCAGGAACCATTACGGTAATATCCCACGGACGGAGGAAGTGATTTTTAAGGAGACGAGGCTGCCATTTCAAGGCAATTTTGCTTTCCTCGTAAGCTTTTTCGTTCTTATTCTTCGACGACCCAGGTTCCTTCCCCTACAACAAAACGATTATGAAAATTTTGCACCGTTCGGGCTTCTCGTCTCTGCGAAAGTGAGCTTTGTATGGTCAGAACATCTTTTTATGCGTAAATCTTCTAGATTCTGTGCTTACGGCCGATAAATTCCTGTCACGTAATAAGATTTGATAGTTTAAAGCTAAAATATTTTGACATATAACATAAAAATTATTAGCATATCCTTCTTAATAAGAAATCTCAATAATTATGTCAATGTTAGTATTCCACGATTTCTTGATCAATTTTTTTAGATCCGTCAGCATCCGGTTCATCTTGCGAGGACGACGAAGAGAGGCAGCTTAGTGTCAGAAAACGAAAGAATAGCGTCTACGCTTCCTCTTCGACTCGTGCCCAGTCGGCGGATAGGGATACTTTAACGTCGACCGACGGCCTGCTTGTTGATTGCGTCGCCCTAGTACACCTCACTGATCAATCCCCGACCGAATCCAGCCAACCGGTTCGTCATCCGTCGCCGTATTACTACGGTGATCTCTTCAAGGTACCGGAGCAACTGTCCAAGTCACAGCCGAACAAGTACCGGAAAAGTGTCAGTCTCGATGTACCGGGCGAACGTTCGCGTACACCCGGTATACCGAAGAGGAACTCGGTAGCGGGTGATGGCGGTTCTTATTCGTCGCAACCACGGCATTATCAGCAACAACAGCAGCCGCCGCCACCGCCGCCGCCTCCGCCGCACTATCGGAGCCAGGATCTGGTGAGCCCCACGTCGGGGAGCGAGCATGCTGTCCCAGCCAGAGGCGAGATCCTCTCGTCGTGTATCATTACCGAGTGGGATCACACCCTCATGCCACCTCATAGACTGCTGAGCCATGATTTGCCCGCCACCGTTTGCACGTGCGTCGCATCGCCCGAGGAGGAGGAGGATGAGCTAGAACGACGGCAGCCGCAAGTGACGCGGCATCAGGTGCGCAAACTACGACGTACACGGAGGATAGATCCGCAACCGATACTCGTCGAGGACGAGGACGACGTGGAGGGTGAGGACGAGGGGGAGGAGGAGGAGGAAGAGGACGTGGAGCTCGAGGACGAGGACGAGGAAGGAATGGCCAGGCAACGCCATCTCTACGAAACGGCCTTCGATTGCAAGGTCAATCGATCCGACGATGATCTCGACGATCTTGATCGCATAACCAATCATGCGGTACTACACTCTCAGGTACATGCGCCTTAAAACTCGAGCTATCATTAAAATATCTCAAATTATATTTTAAGTATAAATGCCTTTGTAGTAGTTGTACTTAAAAATCCTTCTGTCGTTCCTTCATTTTTCTTTCTTTAAGCATTATACTACACCAAACTCACTTTATTTAACATATATAAGTGCGTCGTATTCATATATATTTGTGCAAAATTAAATTTGAATAACGTAGGTACGGAGCGGCAGTGCTGCGCTGACTAGCAGAACAAGTTCGTCGACAGACACGTCGAAACAGCAACATGTGCAACCACTTCCTTACACCGGTCAGTCGCAATCAAGCAAGGACCATCGACGTAAAGTTGTACTTCTCCGCCCAAAACCGATTCCGAGCCGCTTACAGCAGCAACAACAGCAGCAGCAGCAATCAGACAATATATCCACTCTGTCCCAGGATATCGAGTCCCTCCAAATTAATTCGAGCGATGAAAAAACGGGATCGCCGAGATTACCTGCGCGCGATTATACACCATCGCCGCCATCAACCGCGCCTTTACCTGCGAAATTTCACGGAAATCGAGATCACCTGCTGCTGAACATTCGTAGCGCGCCGAATCTCCCATCGCAGCCTGATCATCCACGCTTGAAGGACATGAGGCTGCCGGTGAAGTCGTTGCGCGCCAAGGACTCGCCACAGAGCAGCGAGGGCAGCATTCTCGAGATCAAGAGTCGGCCGAAGACCTTCGTTCAGGAGAACATCGACTCTTCGCAGGGTCGTAGATTCGACAAGGAGCTTATTCTGGAGTTTAAAGATAGGCCTCGGGAAGAGCGACAACGACCGCGTAGTCTGATTCGCGAGAGCAGACCGATAATGGAATTCAAGGGTAGGCCTCACGAGGCGGAGAGCGATCTCGCGCGACCAGCACGACGAGAGGCCGGTATCTTGGAATTCAAGCTGCGCACATCACGTCGCCGGGTCGGCTACTCTAGTACCGAGAGTATGGCGACCAGCAGTAGCGGCGGCAGCATGGAGTCCATCAGGAGTAGTACCAGCGAAGGCAACCGGTCGACCAGTAGTTCCGATAGTCGGCACAGCACCAGATCTTTAAGTTCCCACAGCTCGGATAGCGGAGGCAGTAACTGTTACCATCATCAACATCAACCGTCGTTGTCGGGTTTTCTGACCCATCACGCCACCAAGTTACATATTCTCTCGCCGATCTCCGACAAGTCGTCGCAAGAACCGGCCTCGGAGACTTCCGATAACAATCGCAACAATAATTCGCAGAAGGCCTCACCTGAGGAGAACATCATCACGGAGAACAACGTCACCGCGGGTAACAACACAAACGCGGCTAATACGAACGCGGTCACCTCGCCCATGGACACATCCTTCAAGAAGCGGCGAACACCGCAGAATAAAAATCTTATTAATCTGGCACTACAGTCGTCGTCGTCGGGCGACGCGGAGATCCAAGGATCAGATAGCGGTATTTCTATTGAATCCCGCGCGGGTATCAAATGCAAGCCTTTCGGCTTTCACTTGTTGAAGCCGCAGCTAGACAATATCAATCTTGTCGATAACGAGCCGGAACTATCGGATTTGCCCTTCGACATGCCAAAGCTTCGTAGGAGACGACTGCTAATGCAACAGGACGCTACTACATCCGGAAGCGCAACCAGTGTGGACTTGAGGGATCTGCCTTTCGACATGCCGAAACTCAGAAAGCGCCTCAGATGTACTCAGAGCATCGAATCCAGCGCATCTCAAGCGTCGTCAAGCCTTTCAGTGCGCGACGTAGAACCACCTCCTTTATTTGGTGAGTTTTCATTGGTGTATATCGCATTTTACATCGTATTCCTATTAATGAAAATTTTAGCAAATTTTTATAAATATGAGTATAAATGACGATTACAGTTTTCGGTATTTTGAGTTACACATATATAAATACGCCAGGTAAGCATTTTTTCTCGAACAAATCGATTTGTACATCAAAATTTTTTTCAATAATAATTACCGTAAATGGAAGCTAGTCTCCGGAAGGGGAATCCAGGTTTATCTTTCTTCTAATCGAGCGTCTAGTCATTAAAGCGATAAAAACCGTACTTTCGGCACATCGGAGATAAACTGAGTACTCATCAGGGACTACCGTAATTTAATGCTGATCGTTATGTACCTTCTAGACAACAGCTAACATCGTTAAGCTTCACTTAGCTGCTCCCAGCGATTATATTTACTACAAATACATGCCTTTTTGACAGTCATATGTTAATATCATTATTTATTTTTTGAAGAAAGATATATAAAAAAAAATTACTATAAAATGCATTATATTATTGCATATCACATAATAATATACTGTTTACATACTGCACAATATTAATAATATAAAATATAATTTAACTAAATACGTGCTAAGTGGCATGCTAAATCATGACAAAACTGTTGTAAGAAAATATATAGTTAGATGCCATTTATTCAATGACTAAGCTACAATAGCTACATTAGCGAACGAACAGAAATTGCTTATGCATAGCAAGTGTAATCTATCAAGTGGTATCGAAATAGCGAACAACGATGTAATTTAAATCGCATTAATAGTATGAGTTATACGACATCAATAATTTATCGCTAGCGAGTGAATTTGGCCCGATGCGAGTCATGCAATGCACCGCGAAACGTTTGGAATTAGTCGGGTGATTAAGCCACCGCTGCTGCCACATCAGACACCCCCTCCAGTTATCCCCCGAAGCTCTATCGTCCGTCCTGATGGGACTTTGAACGCGCGTCGTTTACCCTCCGAGTTTCCAAATTGCGAGAGCTCTAATGCAAGAGCTTCGAGAACAAGCACTCGCGCCTACGGCCGAGAGTTGTGGGGCCGACCTGCAGGGGTAAATGAAGGGGAGGGTAAATGCTACAGTACACGAAGGTTAGGCTTGGGTTCACGTGCGCTGATGTATGGACCCGCTGGGTTGAGATAGAAGAGAGAAGCTATGGTAACATGGGCGACAGAGAGAGAGAGAGAGAGAGAGGCAGAGAGAGAAAGATGAGGAAGAAAGAGGGAGAGAGGGAGAGGAAAACAAGCAACTATTTTTATCGTCGGTCTCTCGAATGTCAATAACGGCACGAAATGCCCGGTAAATCCGTTTTGCTAAAAGTTATGGGTCCTTAGAAACTGTTCCTTTTTTCTGTCCGGGGAAAATGTACGGCGAGTGATTCCCTGCATCGTGAGATACGCCGACGCGGATTTATTTAATCAATTATGGCCCCCGGGCTCTAAAGCACGACTCGCTTTAGCGTCGCTGCCCGAATGATTTAATGCGCGACGATTATCACTTTGCAAGCTTCGTCGCGATCACGGGACAAATTATTATTAATTTTTTTTGCACCATTTTATGAAAAAATACTTGAGATGTTTAAAAATTTTTAAAACATTTTAAATCAAATAAAACGCAGATTACACAGTATAAGATAACTTGATTTCTCGTAGAATCAAAACTCCTCATTATTTATTTAACACGAGTACGTATATTTATCCGGCGAAACACGTTCGTTGAAACGCAATGTGAAACGAATCGAGAATGAAGCGTACGATGCATTTGATCCTCCTGATAAAAGCCCAGTCACGTCACTCAGTTACAACCATTCTTGGAGCAACTATCACGTACGTCGAAAATATGAATAAATAGCCGTCGCCTACACGAAGTTTAATCAACGCGCGGGCGAACATGTGAATGACACGGACACATACATGTACGAATGTCGAGCTGGTCGTTTCCGTTTGCCAGATAACGAAAATGCAGTTGTCGCATTGCGTACTCATATATCTATGTATGTATATGTACGAACTATTTCAATGGCGATTGACCGAATATTTCACGCGATGATGCATTTTTCGTCGCTGAATGTATAAAAGAGAAAATAAAAACTCTCGTGTGCGCGAGATTCCCGGACAGTTCTACGTGAATTTTAATAACAACGATTAAAAAAAAGAATAAAATTAACTCGCAAAAATGTAATCATAAAATGTTGCATTCGTGCGCCGAGAAACTTTTTTCACCTTTAATGAATACAGAATCATGCATGAGTAAATTTGCGGAATTAAAGTGTTATTTAATTGTAAATCATTGTAAAAATTCTGTAATATGTACTGTAATATGTAATTCGTAAATGATGCAGGACGTATTCTCCTCTACAATAATATATTCACAATAATATATCTCGCATTTCTATTCGGCAATCAGCTACGAGTGTAAGAGATCGAGATCTGTAATACTTTTTCCGGTTGATGGATGTCGACCGGTTTCGATTCGTAAATTACCTTTTGAAGAGGGAGCCGAGAAAAAGGGCGACGTAAAGCAATGAGATGTAGAGCGCGTTAGCACGTGATCAGAACCAGATTTCCTCAAAGATATACTTCTTTTACGTCCAGTTGTTGACAATTACTTTTTTGGGGATCGGGGGTTCGTCAGTGCGAAGTGATCGATCTGTTTCTTCGCTTTCTATTATCGCGCGTAGATCGTCTTATTGGTTCGTTGATACGAACAGGTTATCAATCATGATAAGTCATCTTGATCGATGAGATGATACAATTTTTAAACTTTCTACAAATACGCACTTTTTTGTCTATTAACGTTATTAGTATTACCGTTGCAATATGCATGACCATTTAATTAACAAGCTCATTCATTTTTTAGTAATTAAACAAATTGTATCTTATATTTTTCTCTCTTTTAATAATTATCTCATAAAATAAAATTGTTTATTTATTTTAATCTATAAAATTATTAAATATTCTACTTTGTACAAGTCTCATAAATTTTTTTTTCAAGTCTGAGTGTGGAATGTCTTCATCTACTTTCTTGAAAATGATAAATGACGTACCGACTAGAAACGAATCTAACAATAAGTTGATTTTTCCTTTGCTGCATCTTTTTTATGTTTCGCTAACATCGACGGGTAGCCAACCACCGGAAGGAAAACAGTTCGCGCATTGTGCTCTTAGATAAAAGCCATTGGCTTGTGCCGGTTCACAATGTACTAGAGATGAGAATGGAGGATGAAACACATAAAGCCAACGGCTTTATTCCACTTCTCACACGATGGATTTATGTGCATGTACACTGTTCGTCGATGTATACGAGTACGTGTCACTAGGAAGATAGCAGATGAGCGTATTGAAAGTATCGGAAATATTACGCCCTACTTGCGATAAGTTTGAACTGTCCCCTTTTCGATCTCTTTTAAACGTCATCGTCGAAACGACTCTTTCGTAAAATGGTATTATCAAATCTGCCGAAACACAAATCGAATATAAAGAAGGTAGACGTTGCCTTGTGGAAAATCGAGTAAAAATGCGATAGCTGCATCGTGATTTTCGCTCACGTATCTCAACGATGAATATTTCAACGTTAGTACGAGTCACGTACGGATATTACGTCAGACATTTGTGATCCTCGATGAAAAAATTTACACTCACAATCTCGACGAGTACATTTGTCTCGTCCGTAGGCCATTTTTAGTCGCTGGCAACGTGAACTTTCTAGCTGATGGCGATCGTTAACGAGCAGAAAAAGGAGGAGAGAGACAAAAAGTGCATCGACGCGACGTGTATCTGGCTCAGTTCACTTCGGCAAACTATACGAAGAAAGATTTGGCTAACCAGAGAAGAAGAGTACACACACACATACAGATTTAATAATTCTTTCCGGTTGTTTACGACTGAAGTTGTTGAATGTAACTTACGTCAGAATTTCTGTTTTTCGTTACATTCTCTGCGATCCACTTTAAAAGATTTGATTACTATATCATACAAATACATATGTATTTGTTAGAGACTGATTATTTTTGTCGCTCAAAGATAAATGCTGAAAAAGAAAAAAAATAAAGAAGAAAAAGGTGTAATATTTCGAAGAAAACACATCTGATTTAATTATATAAAATTGAATTATAAAACATATTTTTGAAATCGTATTCTTAGAAGAATTTTCTCATAATGAAGAATATATTTTCAATATACATTTTCTTCATTTTATTTTTCTATAGTTATTGTAAAATACATTTGATATCAGAATAAACTTCATTTATATGTAAATAATGCATGTGAGTTGTAAAGCAGATATTTATGATTCCGCCATTGCATTTTTCCATTCGATAATTTGCCATCGCCCCAAATTTCGTCGTAAACTGTCCTGTTTACTTTGTCCTCAGCATGGAAGAATCCGCAATTTCGTTATATGTACCTCTTCATAGACACAAATCACGTACGGTTTAGTCAACATCGTATACGCGGTCACTTGGTAGTTAGCCAAATTATTACGCGAGTGGTTGCGTTTAAAGATGTTGCTTTAAAGCTGTTATATTATCAAGTTCCAGAAAAATAGATTCGAATTAGTCTTGTGGACATAACGACGTAATTAGAATTTTTATAGTTCGTTAAACAAGAATGGAGGGACACTGTATGCTTGAATTATACGTATTATTATTTCATTTACGTAATTATGCAAAATTAAATAATTGCAAATTATTTCAATTGCAGCATACTGTGCTTGCTAACGAAGCAAGATTAAAACGTTGTAGAAATTCAACAAACTCTAATTTTCCTGCTTTTTACGAAAATAAGTTTTTAAGAGCCATCTCTGTTCTCGACGAGTTTTTACAGCTCGTGAATCTTAAAAAAGCTTGCAAGTTGCATATATATCCCTGTGTATTCTGTTTTTAAATTCTCAGTCCGCGAAAGTATTTTGTCATGAATATAGGCGACAACGCTTGTAAGGTACATTAAACTTCATACGAAGACGGAGTCCCGACGACGAAGTAAACGCAGTTTTATCCTGAATTCTTAAAAAATCTAGCCACGTACTGTTTGCTTCATATCACCATAGCAGCACGACTGTCTGTGCTCTCTCTTATCCATTTGGTACCGATCCAAAATGCCATTACGATGAAAACTGATATTTGTCTGACCATATCTAGGATTTTCTACTAGCACATTACAACGATACTTAATAATTAAGCTCGACGAAACAGTGATTAAATTAAATCATTTACGATAATATTAAATCATTTATTCTTGCGAGTTTAATTTATATATATATAATTAAAAATTTAATTATTTTAATTGTGTAATAAATTAAATATCATTGAAATAATAATATAAAATAATTAGTATTAAATACTTGGTGAACGATTTTAGTATCATAAACATATGAAATCATCCATTGTTAACTAGCTAACTTGGTTAACAACTTGTTTCTTAGTACTAGTAGATAAAAAATGAATGTATTGGAGCAAGTTTCATAAATAATGAATGTTATGGGGCCAGTAGCGTAGACCGAAATGTCGATAATCCTCGGACAAATTGTACGAAATCGTCCAATGGAAACGTCTGATATGCGTCTATTGTACTTCATATTTCATGAGGATCGCGGATGTATCAACCATTCCGAGCAGGTTCGAAGTGTTTGCCACCGCGTCGATAAGGGCCTGTCGACGGAGGGATAGAAGAGCTCAAGGGCGTGTAACTGCAACATCTGTCGGCGGATATCTTCGAAGCCTATCCAGACAACGGCATCTCACATCTGTTGTTCGGGAATTTCGGCACCATTGCGAAATTTCTTTGGGGGAGAACGGAGCTGCCCCGTAACGATGCGATATAAGCTAGAGACGTAGCGAGCCTTCAAGATTGCGAAATCATCGTGACTCGGCAACTCTCGAGATCTCCTCCATCTACGGTCAATTCATGCGCGAGAGTTTCTGAAAGTTTCAGAATTTCGACGCGAATATTTCTGCGTTTATAAAATGAAGGCGTCGCGAATTGTAACGTGATTGATTTTCACGATTCGTCCATTTCACTCCGTTCACTTCCAATACGTGTCTTTTCCAATAAATCTCTTTTCGCTCTTTTAAAATTTACAAACTTCTCCTCGTAAAAGTCACATCGTTCGTATCAACGACAGGTTGCTCCATCATAAGGTGTCATCTTCTATTTAATAGCGTCTTGCCACTCAATGGAATCGCCATTGACTCTTTTCCAGACGCATTTGACACGTCGGCTCCCCGAGGCCGTAAATTCACCGGTGTCGTAAATCTCTACGGGCGGGTTCCACCCTCCATCTCCTTTGCCCGGCAATAAATACGAATCGCTGGTGCGGGGATTGCTCGACTTCCCGGAGTCTCAAGAACCGTCCCGACTCTTCGACATCCGGCGGAACGTGTCGTCAATATGTCCTGATTTTTGTGGGAAATTAAAAGTTCCGTGACGCTACGACGCGCGTTTCGCGACGAAAGCCAGAGATTTCCCGTGCGTCCCTCGTCCCCTTCAGTTCAGAGCTTCGTTCGTGACCACGAATTTCCCCGGAGATGTGTCTGCGGTGACGCCTCTTGCGTGTCTCCTGTCGAAGGAATATTTTTCGCCTTCTTTCGGGTCCGCACGCTATTTCTCTTCTCCGACTCTCTATCGCCGCTCGCACAACCACCGCTCTGCTTTCCCTGCACGACGCTTCAAAACATCCCTCTCCAAAGCTCACACAAGGGAATGAGCAAGGTCTTAATGCAAACAAGCGTTGCTACGAATTCATATATGATGATCACGGCGGAGGAGTTTACTCGACTCGTGTCTACGATCCAGTATAGAGACACGTCTCGACGTCTCCCCATTTCCCGTGGGAATGCGCGACAGTCGGAAAATCCACGAAGAAATTGATTGAGACACATCTCCGTCAGAGACGGATATTAAAACAGTCTGAGGAAGAGAATAAGGATACGAGTGTCAGGACGAGAGATAAACCTGTGGGTTGGGTGATATACGAAGAACGGGCGGGAGAAAGATTTTGGCAAAGACAAAGAAGATGAGAGGAAGGACCGTTTACACTGCCGTCCCAGGGAAAAGGAGGGAAACATAAATCTGCTCGGCCGATCGCCAGATTGAATTTAATAATACAGACGCACGCAATCTCGTCGAGTAACGCTAGCAGTTCGCCGCTGTTAATGTTTAACCATTCCCGAAACCTGTGTTTCGCAAAGAGGAATTGAATAGAAATGGCGCGTGAGAGATAGCCACGGTCTTGTGAGCCTTCCTTTCGCCGTAATTTGATGTGCGTGTACAGGATGTTTCAGAAGCAAACAGCTTCTCTATCGCAAGTTATATGAGAAATTTTTAAGAAATTGTCTTTTTCTTAAATAAAAGTTTGTCAGAAATAATTACTTGTCAGATGCATTTAATTTCTTATATTATATAAATATATTATAACATGTAATTATAAAATTTGAATAAAATGTTCATAAAAATAGAATTGTGAATTAAAATTATATTTTTGTTTTTTCGTAGCTTGTTGAAATTGTTCAATGTCAAATAATTCCGTAACTTTAGATGCTTCGCTTTTAATTTACCCGGTTCTACTGAGATATCCTATATATCTGCATATGCGTCAGACAAGAGCACTTCGACCCTCTGGACACATTAAGCAGCAAAAGAGGCTAACTCGACGTTACACCTGTCAGAGCAATTTTATTGTACCTGCATCATGTACCGCGTCCGAGAAGTCAACCGCTAAGAGATTGCGCCAACAAATGAAATTAGCGCCCTATACCGCTGTATTCAGGGGCGTTTTCTTGCGAAGTGTCCTTCATTGATCATTATTGTCTACGAAGAGCTCTCGGCGCATTAATATTCTAACAGGAAAAAGTACACGACTGTAAAAAATTGAATTAGAATAAACACTTTATGACAGAGTAGCTCATCATTTTCAAATAATATGCGTAAAAATTATTTTGGGAACAGCAATTTTTAATATTGACTTTCTCAAAATATATTACGTTAAATCATTATTGTTCTATTTAATTCTAGTATTAATTTACAATATGCCACAATATTATTTTCACAGTATTAAAAATATTTATCGTCTATTACATTATTTATCGGATATCAATTATTATTTGGTGTTAAATATCAGTATCGCATTGTATTAATTTCTGATCTCAATCACACCAACTTAGGCAAGGGTAGATAAGAGAAATAAAACTATGTCAACAACTCCATAACAATTTTCCATGGATGACGCAGCTTAATCTGCCCGTTATTCGGCGTATCTAAGTTCTGATTTGTAGCAATTATTAAGGGACCCTACCGTAAGAGAAAGATAAAGAGAGAGAGAGAAAGATTGCTGGCAATTCTATACATCCCTGTACATCATCGGTATTTACTGGTGGGAGCACGATGCGTCTGACTGTCGGATGACTCATTTCAGGCGGCGGTCTGTCGCGCCCAAAGATGACTCTGAATCTGGACGCCGGTGGAAATGCAGCGGGGACAAGCGGAATTCCATGTGGTGGTTTATTGGCACCGAAGAAACCTGGTGGCTTGAGCCTCGGTTTACCACTGGAGATCAGTACAGCTCGAATATCGGCCGATCTGGTAGATGTGGAACTTCCTTTGGAGAGACAAGGGTAAATATATCGAGACTAGTCAGTTATTTTTATCACAATTTTTCGAAACACGATAATATTATCTCGTTAATAATAATGCCTCCAGCTCGTTAACGATATCAAAATCTTATCCTAAGTCCTTCCACGCGCTCTCATCCTTCCTCGCGTGCCTCGTATTTCATCTTTAAATTTCAAGGAGATACTTCTTACGGAGTGTTTTCGAAACTGCAAAATCTCGTCGAGCAAATTAACTTATTAGAACAATACTTGACTTATTGAAAATTTGTTATCTAGATGGTATCACGGCTCCATCACGCGCATCGAGGCGGAAAGTCTCTTGCGAGTTCATCAAGAAGGAAGCTATTTGGTGAGAAATAGCGAATCAACCAAACAGGATTATTCTCTGTCTTTGAAGTAAGTGTTAATTAACATTTTTATATTGATTAGTGAACTTTTCTTTGATGATCAACATAATTATTTTTTTTTTATTTTTTCAGGAGTGCCCGCGGTTTCATGCACATGAGAATCCAGAAGAATGAGGAATTAAACGCTTACATCCTGGGACAATTCAGCAAACCGTTCGAGAATATACCGGAAATGGTCCGTCATTTCAGCGTAAATCGTCTTCCGATACGCGGTGCCGAACACATGTGTCTCTTGCATCCAGTCATAGTTCAGCTTTTGTAGCGCATCTATCGTAGCGCCATTTAAGGTGCTGTACCTTTTTTGATAATCTGCTTTTTTCTCGCCGAAGCGCGCGATTTGGCAATGAACGAGCTTGATACAGTAAACGGAATGTCGGAAAATATTATTTTTCCGTGCGACAAAAAAGTCTTTCGAATTGTCGACGAATGATACGTGACTTCCTCTGAGATTCTCCGTATCAATTCGTATTTCGGTTGAACGAATCGAATTCCGCACGAAGAGCGTCAGAGATAATGGACAATAATGGCATCGACGGGAGATACCACTCCGTCATAAAATGTTACAGGGGAAAGTACGAATACAGTACAAAAGTATAAACAGTGACTGAGAGAAGCTACTTAACGGTACACAGTACGATCGATCAGGCGTCCGGGTTCGTGCAATTTACAAAGAGAGAAATCGGTGTTGAAATATGCATGAAGAATCTCAAGTTCGCTCCGAATAAAAAAAATTTTTCATGACGTTATGACATCGTCTTTTCGATAATGATTTAATTCCGCATGTCTATGCTCGAGTGCAAGCTTCCGTTTTGCAATAGAATTAGAATTGATAGGGACGATATATATTATTCGATTTCAAAAACATGAAGATGGGTGAATATGCTTCGTCTTCCTTGAGAACATCGCGCAAACCTACCTCATAAGACTCATGCATCGCGGCACGACGTAAAGGCAAACGATTGTTATCTGAATGATCAAAAGTAACGGAATGTCTCGAAAGGCGATATTATCGAAGATACAAATTTGGCGCAATAAGATTCACGAGAGATAATGAATTCAGGATCGACAATGCGAAAAAGTATACGCGAGAACGCCTTATCCGGCTAATTTTGCCAACTTATTACAAAGGTTGTTCCTCGAGTTCGCGATTACGCGGATTCTATAAAAGAAACTACTTAGATGGGATCAGAAAGCTGCTTACGAAATGGTAATTTAAATAAGAAAGGGAGCGTGGGAGATAATGTACGTATTTAGGTTTAATGAGAGATGTAACGAAAGTGTAAATGGCCAGAAATGGCGTGAGCTGGAAGCCACAATAAAGATAATCCTAATATCTATTCGAAGGAATGAAGATATAAAAGCTGGACAGACGCGCAGCGAGCGCGAAGAAAATGCCAAACTTTACTTCTAATCGTAATCATTTAGTCAGGGTTTAGTTGTCCGTCGTCATTGATAAGTAATTAATTAGGTTTAGATCGCAATAAGCGAGCGTAAGTAATTTACAATAGTAAATTAAATCGGCGTCATGAGTATTGGGTGATACAATCGCTGTTTTGGCGAAGGTTCTGTGTAATCTCATAAAAAAAAATCACGAGTCGAGGGTGATAATGCGCTTTTCTAAGAGACGCGAATGACGATAATGAACACGACGAGAATAGAGAGGTGAGAGATGATTGAAGTCAGCCAATCTGAATCATCGGTGGCTCGTCATCCGAGTCATCCGTCCGACAGTCCCTAGCGACACAATCGCGGGAAGGCTTTGCGATAGAATGCAACCGATACATATTTTTTCATGTGATATTAATTTGTTACAGAGATAGCCTAGTTTCACCTGTGATCTGTTACTTAATTTTTCTTGTCCGTGTCGCGCGGGCGTGCGCGACAACGATAATAAATAATTAAATTTGCTATTGTATTTACGTAGCCAGCAACGACGCGTCGGTGAGGCGCGATGATGAGAGACGTCCGTGGGGTCACAATAATTTTTTGGATTAGGAATTCGATTCGCAATGTGGTTGTGAACGAATTTATGTTAGCTATCGCGAAAACAAGAATTTTGCTTAATATTAAATAGTGACGTAGGGAATGTGTACGACGATCGGTAGCGAGTGCCAGCATCGTGCTGAATAGTCTCTTTCAATCATTTAATAATTTTGATAGAACTAATAATAATATTAGTTTCCTGATTAAAACAATATTTTAAATTTAATTGAAATATATATGAATTATGCACGAGGCACTCTCTACTTTTGCGTCCGATTAGGTTGAGTGTAATTCGTATGTATTTTAAGCTGCCAGTATTATTAACTGTAATCGATAATGCATATCCATGTTAACGTTTAAGACATTATATTGTCCCCATAGTCCTGCAATTAACACATTGAAACTATATAATCCATATATTTGTTTCATATTATATTTATTGCATTGGATATGATGATAACGATGAGGTTTCTGTATGCCGTTGATTTAATCGCAAGATCATAGAGCTGTAATTCTATGATATTGTAATTCTAGAGATTCCATAAACGTAGATTAATACTACTTGTCGAGAGGTAGTACGTAAATTATATGGTAGACACTAACTTGTAGATACTTCCTGTACCTTGAAATTTGTATGAAGTAGCTCTTAGATCTATCGTATACATATAGTATATAAAAAATATATATATATTATTATTATAAAAAAAACACTAGTATATAGTATCGTTTGTAGGGTATATAGTGTTAAGATCGAGCAATGCGGAGTGAGTCCAATGAATACCTTGAGCGTTGTTTACGCCATTTAACGTAAACGAATCTCGGACGGCAATGTGCAATTCTAATCTCGCAGAGTATATGCATTCGTAAAATACGAATTAATATTTTTGTTCCAGCAAACCACGAACGTCCCACAAATCCTTCATTAGATAATCTTGTATACTCTAGAAATTTCTCTTAATAATAAAACCGTTTAATAACTCCAATTTGGTATCATATGTCAATTGTTTCTACTAGAATTTCTATTGTTTCGCACTCTTACATGATTCTAAAAAAAATAATCTTTTTACATGAGGGAATAAAAAAATTTATGGGAAATTTTACAAAATTATAATCTATATTATTTTAAAAGAATCTAAAAGTATTAAATTAGATTTTTATGTCAATTATATAAATTTTCCTTGTTCTAAAAATATATTTTGTCATTTAATTTATTTTCCCTCTATCACGTTGTTAGTTTCGTATAGCGCGATCTCATCCTGAGATCCAACTGGGATAAATAACAGGCGTTCATTAACATTCTTTTGTGGCGGTGTCATTTGGCTCGCTTCTACAATCTGTGCCAACGTAAATGTAATCATGGTATAAATGTATAAGGAGAGCTTATATATTTCGATATCTTCAGTAATTAAAATAAGTATGGCATACCGGTTTCTCCGCCAGTTCGATTATCCTCGGTTCCTTCGATGATTTCCTTGCGTTACGTCTTTCTATAATTTATAACAGAAAAGAATATAAAAAATGTACTATGCAATTTAATAATTATTACACATGTCGCATAACAATAATAATTGTAATAATTATATAAATACATTTTTAACATATTTGATTTGATTTAATTATACGGCAGCTTTTTCCTGTCAAATAATGATTGATTCTTTGAATGCAAAATATCATATTATTCGCTAACCATTTCCAGTGTTGTTTCGTTGAATCGGCGAAGATTTACGAAACGATGTCGAAGCATGTTCCTGAGAAATCTATAAGGATGGATCGATAAATTTCATATGTGAAATAGATACTTGCTTATGATGAGATTTCCTATTAAAACTTACTGAGGATCGAGTTTCCTCGCTAATTTGACTCTCCCAGCAAGTTGGTCCGCAGACATCCAGTTTATCCGGCAATAACCGGCTACGATACATCTTACCGTCTTTCCCTTTTATCAAACCATCTGTTAATTGTATCGTTTGCGGCCCCCATTGGGTCAAGAAATGTTCTACCCGCATAACTTTTTGTTGAGGAGTCACGATCGTGTGGCTTCCGCCACAATATCGATTGCAGAGATGATCTCTAAATATATTAAACTTATCAAATTTAAGCTATCATAATACGCTACATAAAAGCTTTGAGATTTATTAAGTTTACACAGTTATAATGAAAAGTAAATTTATAAAAAGTTAGTTTAGGAAAATATATATATATATATATATCTTTCTTAATATTATTTTTAAATTATAATATAAATATAAATATAAATATATATATATATATATATATATATATATATATACATTTATTTATTTATTACTTTATGATATATTATTTGTTTTCCGATATGACATGTAATATTTTTTCGAAATTCCAAGATCGAACGAAATGATATTACTTACCTGGGAGACTTTGCGAGCATTTCTTCTTTCGGTTTTATTTTCTTGATCTCCTCCCGCATTGCAGTCTCAAATTGGATCATATTTCTGCTGTGAGGCAATTTTCTCTGCTGCTTCCTAACTTGGTCCAACTGGTATGTGAGATAAGGTTTCATACTGATGGTACAAGGCAATGGTTCGGCACGAAATCTGCCGACTTCTTCTGTTTTCATCACGACGTCCTTGTCGCACGATATACACTGAACATCCCTAAACAACAAAGAAGATCGACATTGTGGATGAGTTAAAATCTTACCTGCGAGCGTGAAATATTCACCTGAGCAGTTTTTTCGTTCCAGCCGCTTCGATCTCACGCCTCGCTTCGGCCATAATTTTCAACTTTTCTTGAAGAGACTTCAATTTCTTATTCATAAAGTCCTTCAACGGCGTCATCTCTATTTTATCCACTTTGCCTGCAATTTCATTTTGCACTTCGTCAAGCGCTTGTTGCCAAATCGATTCTTGCTTAGTCAATTTATCAATCGCCTCTTCGAGACCACGCGAAAGATCGTCACAAGCAGCATCGAATTGATCGTGTGATACCTACAGCAATTTTCGTGATATTTTAATCTGTATCAGAGATGAGATTTAATGGATTTATGATACTCTTTTATACTTTTCTGTTAACTGCTTGAGTATCCGCTTTATCAGCCAAAGCATCTTCGAGATCTTCTTTGTCTGCTTTGACAGTTTTTAAAAGTTCTATTTGTTCCAGCAATGTCTATCCGCATAAAATTATTCGTCGTAAATATAGTCATTCGAATAAATTATATCAAATACAAGGAAGCAAAGAAAATACAAATTAATGTAGAGTTAATTGCTGTTTAATATAAAAAGTGAATAATATTTTAATTATTTTTTTACTAGAAATTACGCGCGTACTTTAATGTGAATTTCCTTTTCCTCTTTATCATCGAACAGTCTGTCTATTGTTTCTCCGATTCTTTCCACATCCGCTTCTATTCCTTGTATTTTTGTAACGAGTTCATTGATGTCACCTGTTTTATCCATTGCTTGCAAAACGTTCACTTTTTCTGACAAATTCTCAGTTTCTTTCTCCAATGTAATCACGCGTTCGATAATATCGTTCATGACTTTGTTATGTGTCGTCTCTACATTTTTCACAGCTTCCAAGCATTGTTCCAAGTTTGCAGCATCACTCACTTCAACTATCTTCTCTTTATCTTTAGCGACTTCTGCAATAACAGATTTTTCTCACATCGCTGACGCATCAATAACTATTTTCGTGATAATTTCGCTTTTTATATAATTTTTATACAGTTTCAAGAATAATATATAAATAATAAAATAAAATTAATGAGATTATAAATGAAAGAATCATTAATAGACGCACGTGCAATTTTTTCATTGAGATCTTGTAATTCCCGCTGCATCTCGACTACATTCACTTTCAATGTTGCAACATCTTGGCGTATTTCTGTTATATTATTTAGACAGTTAGTAAATTACTTTGGATACACATTTCAAAAACTACAAATATAGTTACTGTATTAAAAATTTTTCAATCAAATAATAATGTTTTTAATGCTAAAATAAATAAAATTGTTGCACATTTGTTACTTCGAGCTGTCAATTGAGTAGCAAGCTTTTCGACTGTTTCATGAACTGGTTTAGGAATTTCCTCTGCTGTTTCTTCCTTTTCAGGAGATGGTACAGTATCTTCATCGACTGCGATTTCTGCTGCTGCTGCTGCTGCTGCTGCTGCTGTGGTTTCTGCAGCTTCTGCTGCTATGATAGGTTTTACTGCCACATAATCAGTAGTTGGTGATGCATCTTCGAATACAATATTAGCAATTGTTTGTAAACTGGTGAGCTTTTGCTCCATTTTTGCAACTTTTTCTTCGAGTTCATCCAATCTTGTGTTAATCAACGACATATCTGCTGTTGTAAATACACCTATATCGCCTTTAATCACATCTTGTACCATTGTTGTGAGCTATAATAATATTTTAAATTATTATTACTCTTCTTTATGTTCTTTCATAAAAATATTAGCGTAAATATTGTCTGGGAAAATTTTACGAGTAGTAATTTAACAAGTAGTATACCTTCTCGATACCTTGTTCGCTCGCGTCTAATCTCTTATTGATGTTAATAAATTGCCATATATCCGCGATAGGATCTCCGTTTCTGCCCTTTAAACGTTCAACTATTTCTGGAGTCGTAGATAAATCTTCCAGAGCTTGATACTGTTGTTGTAATTGTTTCACCTATTGTTGATTTATTAATTTAATGATGTCTTTCAATTCTATTACTATCTACGTAACAATATATATTTCAAAATTAATTTCTTCTATGTACAGATTGTTCAAGTTCCTTGAACGCTAATGCTGTAGGAGGAGAACCATTTACAACAGGTTCCACAAATATGACCGTCTGAGGATCACTTTCCTTTCCAGGACTTATTTGTTGCGTTATTCCTTTCGTTAATTTTAAATCTTCCTCTGTAAGTGGTTGAATATCTGGATCACATTACATATGCTTTATTATATATATAATAGCATAGATTACAGATTAAATAAATGTATGATATTATGAAACGCGAGAAGCCAAAGGTTTGTACCTTCTGTAAATATTTTAACGTCTATATCTTCTCGAATTCGTTCTGATATTTTACCAGTACTATCGGTAATATTATACTCCTGAAGGTAAAGAGCAGGTCCCAACTTCAAGGATGGAACCATCGCCTATAAGAATCTTTACGTCAATATGTACATAAGAAAAAAAAAGAATTTTTTTCCAACTTTTTTTATTCAATTATTCATTATATTAATTTTCTCACTTTAATACGATTCGCATTTTCGCCACGATATTCCACTTTGGTAGTCTGTAAATTTATCTGTTGCAACAAGATGTGAAGGAAATTATGAAGAATGTTAAAATTAACCACGCCGACCTGAAATCAATGACTCTGTCAATTTTTTTATCTGTCGCATGCATGATCTGTCGTCTCAGTGTTTACCTCTGGCGTTCCGAGAGCAAGATCGAGCATTTGAGGAAGAGAAATTTGCAGGCTGACAACGTTAGCCACTGTGGGTGTTTCCGCAGCCATTTTTCTATATAAATAATTAATTTGTCAGGAATTATAAGAAGAACATAATTATATTTTTCTCAAATACAAATATGGTTATTGTGAGAGATGTTGAAATTGTCAATTTTAAAAATTAATTGCCTTTTGTTCCTATATTCATCCCTTATCCAATAGATTGAGGAAAATAGGTTTTGTCTCTGTATTCATAGTTGGCGCCACGAATATTCCCGACAGGTAGCGTACCCCTTTGGGAGGTATTTGTATTATAGAACATATTATTAAAAAAGCCTTCATAAGAAATTACTCCATTATTAATCTTTATTATGAATAAAATGATACGCTTAATAATAATTAAATATTATTATTCTCTTCTATTATATTTTAAGAAATTAATCACGCAGTCACTTTTCATATTGTAATCATTAATTTCAATGTATCTTGGGATTACTGTACATATATAATGATTTTAAATTTTTATGTATATTGCATTACATTATTAGAAAAAAGTATCTTCCTTAATAACATTTATGTTATATGCTCGAAAAGTATCATATAAATCATAAAAAATTTTATTACAACGCAATTTGCGGTCTAATATTTTTCAATCATTCCTACCATTAATCAAACATCATGGATATGACGCGTTAATGAAACAATAATTCACCGCGCGTCATTTCTCTACAAACAAGTTCGGTTTATCTGACTGCACGTGGCCGGTAGACCAAAACGTGAAATAGAGAATCAGGCTAGCTGCGCTCACAGATTACATCGAACCGTATATATTTTATCGAGTCCCCGGATATGATATTCTCGAGCGTTTCCGTTGGACAGATACAATCGACGTCAGCTCGATCGTGTATTTATATCGCTCGCATATCCATTCCGCGACGATGATGAATTCTCCTGTACCGTAAAGCCAGGGGATGAATTAAAATTTCCATATTTTCAAACCGGATTATACATGAATTAGAGATAATACGAATAAGTCATGTTTGTCTGAGATTGAAAACTTGAAAACCAATAAAATTATACCTTTATTTATCTTTTTAGTTTTGCCTAATTCCCATAATTTAAAAGATTTTTCAATTTTGTACAGTCTATTTTATGAAAATGCTCCTCAAATAATTCAGTTAATTATTATATTATATTAATATTAATGTTATTAACATTATAATATTAATGTTAACATTAATAATTTCAAAATCTCTCAGAAGAAATCATATATCTAAAAAATTATCTTCTCCTTTAAATTCCATCATACATATTATCGATATTTACGAAAATCTGGAGAAGCTTGAGTAACGTTTCAAGTATGAATGATTCAGTAGTGGCACATCTGTATAGCTGCGTTCTCGAATTACCCGTGATAAAGCCGACAGTGGTGGTATTTGAGTTACGTTGTTTGATCACCGGGCGAATGTTTAGCTGTGAGTAATGTCAGCATTCTGGCCGATATCTAGTCGGACGCCTCGACATTCGATAGCACGGCGGTGTTACGGCGTCCGTATGATTTACTCATCCGTCAGGTGAGAGACAGCCTCTTTCTGTCTTCTTTCGCGATTTTTCTGCGTACGGTCAGTACAGTGGCGATCGCGGCTACGAAATGATGTATACGTTAAAGGGGAGCTACGCGGTGATGACGGTGAGTGCGAACGATCAATTTTAAAATACCTTTATATCCCCGATGGTATTAAATCTGTCATATCGCTTGAAAAGCTTGATGTTTCTATCTCGGTTCACGACAGAATTAATTCCGACTTTTAATTTTAAATCTTCTTATAATTGGCGTCGCAGAGTTTATTGACATATCGGTCGGATTGAAAAATTCAGCGAATAATCTACTTACATATCTCCACGTGGTCCGATTGCAATTCACAAATTGTTTTCCGATTGCTCCGATACGTGTATTTACAATGCATCCAACAATAATTTTATATCCGCACTATAGGCCTGAGGGCAGTCTCGAAAATTACAGTCTAGTTCGAACATGCTTTAGTGTACTATACTATAAATACATGCCGAGTAAATATTCGACGAAAATGTAATCTGCATCCCTTTCAGCTTCTTCTGTTTACTCGGACTCATGGCGATCTCTTCAGATACGCGGAGCAACAGCAGCGATACAATCCCGCGATACCGTCACGTCCGTGGTATCTCGCACCATCTCAAGAGTTCGTGCTCCGTGAGATTATCCTCGAGTCGGTCATTCCGTTGCCGTTCGATATCAAGGCGATCCACAAACGTCCGTTGGATGCTTCCTTCTACGGTGGTCCGATCACTGCGACGTATTCGAGCGACGACGCGAATATCGTTCTGTCACGCGGCAAGGTCCATCGTCTGTTCAATGGCCATTGGATGCTATGCGAGGACGGATGCGTCGATTGCGAACCGTGCGCGACACAGGGAAATCCCTTATTCAAGTGGATCCTGCGGAGGATCAAGCGGCCGTCAGTTTCCGACCCATCGCGACATGATTTCCAGCTGACTATAATCTCACAAACGAACGATCACTTCCGCACGAGCTTCTGGCCCAATTCCTATATTTACGCAACACCCCAGGGAGAACGGGGTTCAATCTCGATCACCAGAATGCAGCACGACAACGACTCGGAAAATTCTCTACCTAATCTCGAGAACAGTTTTTCCCAACAACATCATCGATCGCAGGATCTCTGGCGGTTGACGGAACGGGACTCAATCTCGCAAGAAAAGAATCACATTCAGGGGAATACGAGCACCGACAAGTCGCTCGAGCAGAAGCACCGATTCAGGAATATGGGACATCGACCTCGACCCGTGGAAAAAGTCGCGGAAGAAGCGAATCAATTGGCACCCAAGTTGATCCTGGGAAGAGATCAACGGGGTCAAAAGCATTTGATTCACGTGGTGCCGGTGGATCATCCGCCGATCAACGTCGCGCACTTCGCTCCGAATCATTCGATATCATCGCATTTCGTAGCGGATCAAGCGACACGTTTGAATAATACTTTTCCCAAGCACGAGAAGCAAATTTATCAGCGGATATTCCGCCGAGTTTTCGACTCCCTGAATACGCACAGGCAATCAATCGAGAGTTTCCTCGAGTCACCGGCGAACAATATAAGTGAACAGCAAATGGCTTCTTCTATGGACAGTATGGAAGTTGCTGGATTTGTCTGGAATAATCGCGACATAAATCACACAAATGCTAATTTCGAGTCATTGAGTCATAATGATACGCTGTTGTCGCCTTTTCATGTAGAAAATCAAAACGAAATGGAAAAATATCAACAATATAAAAACAGTCATGGCTATCAGCGCATAAATCCGGATGTTAATAATTATTATGTTAGATATCCAAATATAAATCAAACTAAAATATCGCATGATCAGGTGCCAATAAATTTTGATTTCGACAGAGAACGGCGAAGAACACGCGTTAGACCGTACTCTATTAATAATAAAAATATTTCAAAGACAAATTCATCGCTTTTATTACAAAGTTCTTCGGCAGTAAACTCCATGAAGCAAATTGATCCTAATGTAACATTCGTTGATGAAGCAAATACTGAATCAAGCTCGATAACAATAGAATGAGTATTCAACTCGGAGAGGTTGGCAAGTGGCGATGCTAATCGAAAATTCAAGACTTCCCACCATGCTTTCAAGATAATTACTACCGAATCACCGCTAATTCGAAAAGGACACGAAACTCTAAATCGTACTGCAGCGTTACGAAAACATACTTCGAATATGTTTGCTTATAATCAATAATTAGAAAAAATAATAATAATAGCAAAGATAGATATTATTAATTACGATATTATTATAATATTATTATAACATTATAATACATTATAAATATTATGATATTATTACAATGAAACTAGCGCACACACACACATAGTTTAAACATATAGTTTAAAATATAATATTAATATCAAACTATTATTTTCACAAATAAAGATATATTAAGAGAAAGCGTTTTAATTAAAGGTAATTCGATTCTTTCATTGAGGCTGAAAGCCTATATTCGTAATACATGTAACGTGCGAGAAATTGTGAGAAATTAGAGAGAAAGAAGGAGGTTATATATTATAAAAGTAATTAATAATATAATATTTAATAAGAATTTTGTGAATTTAAAATGTAGAAAATAATTTATAAAATGTAATGAGATTTTTTTTTATTTGGCAATAATTAATGCAATGCCAATAATTAATTAATGCAATATATGTTTTGGAGCAATATGTACGCTTCATATAAACGTAGATACGACTAGAACTCAATGCGAAAGCATCGAAGGATACATGCGGGGAGAGAAGGTAGATGGCACAGTTGAGAAACAGGGATAGGCCTGACGCTTATATTTAATTAAAGAGAATACGGGCTCGAACGCGGATCGGATGCGGCAGGTAGTGCTGGGAGAAGTTAGAGCGAGGTCTGTGTTTCTTGTCTAATTATCTACCCTCTCCTGGTTGATCTGCCATGTTCACTTTCTACGTCTAGTAGTTGCTGCTTTTGAGCAATTCGCTTTCCTCCTCCATTTTCTTCTTTCTTTTTATCTTTTTTTCTCTTTCTCTATATTTTAAATATATTTTTATAATATAATATATATCTAATATATAATATATATAATATATATCTATTCTGTACTTTCTGTCTTTATTTTTAGTATACCAGAGACCAAAAGGATAAACAACCTTGTTCAACCTTTTCCATGCATTTTCGATTTTAACTCGTTTTATCTTATGTCGATGAACGCGTCGATTGTAAATTGCCGGGAGGACCGATCGACCGGAAGCTTTCGAAAGTTTTTAATTAGATCGCTCTTTCTTCCTTCTTCGACGGTCAACAACGTTGATATAATCAGGAATAAGATTCGTCGTTCTAAGCGCCAATGTCTGAGGGACATGAAAATTTCTCGTTTTTCAGAGGCTCTAATCGCCTTTCTTCGTTGCCCTCGCCCTCGAGCTGTCTCTCACTTGTCCTTCAGCGGCTCTCCACGTGATCTCGGGTCACCCTTCGTTCCCTCCCTTGCTTGCCACAGTCGAATGGTGCAAAACGATCGACTCGATCCCTGGCAGATTGGTTTTAACGAGTTTCCTTTCAGCGCGGTTTATCGAGGAATTGCGGACGCTTTCGGTGAGCTTCTTCCTCGGCGCCTTCCTTCTCCCTTGGCCGAATACGCTAGGGAAATTTCCACGGAAGATCTTAATTAAAGACGCTCGCCGAAAAATGAGAGCTCCCCTGGATTGGGGAGAATGGCGTTATTGCCGCACTGACGCGGCGCGGATCCGATTATCGCACGGTCTGATCTATTAACTGTGTGTACGTAGCTTAAGGGGATTCTCGCAAAAGTTGGGCCGCCGTTGCCTCTATGGCGCAAGTAAATACGCGACCGATCAAATTTTAGTTAAGAGCCCGGCATTTTGCGACAAAACACGCATTTGAAATATTTCAGTCAAAAAATATATGGCGCTCGTAAAATGTTTCGCGAAATATTTGTTCAAATTTAATTGAACATAGTGTAATCCACGCCGTTTAAAAAGTCATCCATTATTTGTAACATTTATATGCTATGTCAAAAATTTTTGTTTATCTCTGTATGAAGTAGATCAATACCAGTTGTGCATTATGTCATGTGAAATAAAATTTCGATAAAAACCATCGCGTTTGAAACTTCCAAATAGAAACATTCCCATGGTGGCGGTACAAAATATTTTCTATAACAAAAATAATATTGCAAAATGCCGAATAAATTGTCTCCTCTCGAATTTAGCCTCTTAAATTCAACCTATTTTATACTAGTAAGCACCCTCGCGCGTATATTCGCACGTAACTCGGAGATAAGCGCACAGCCAGGGCCGTAAGTCTATCGAGCTTTCAGACGGTAAAAAGTGGAGGAAGCGAAGACGAGATTGGAAGTAGGAGAGAAAAGAGAAACCGGCTTTTAACAGTAAGACGATGGAGACCGGGACCCGTCTGATAGGAGATTGACGCTCTAGCGCGTGAGAAGAGAAAAGGGAAACAGGGCTTACTAAACGCATGGCGGAAAGGGCGTTCTCTCTGCCGTTTTCAGATATTTAAATCCGCGCGAACGACCTCGAGGGTTCCGCTCGCGAATCACCAATCTCTCCTCCTTCCTCCCCGCGTGATCCGAAATCTTGCGAGCGAGAGGTTGCAGGCGAATCCGCTCCTGTCTGGTTTCTGGCTCGAACGAGAACGGATAGAACGCGGTGCGGGAAATGGTAGGAAGGAGAAGCGAAACGGTGGGAAAGATAGGAAGAGTGCGGAGTGAGTTGTTCGAGCGTGACGTGTATTCTTGTCAGGGTGAAGCCGAAAGACGTAGTACACAGCAGACTTTACAGGCCGCTTGTTGGAGAGGAAAAAGAAGACGATATGAGCGAGAGGAGGATGGGATCAAGGGAGGAAAGGAGGAACGCCGAGGAAGAAAGAGAGAAAGAAAGAGAGTGATAGAGAAATTGCGGAGGAAAAGAGGCTCTCCCCGGTACTATGTACTTCTTAATGGTATGGGTGTGTCGGCGCGGATGGAGGAGTAAGTTTTAAAAACATCCCGGCCGACGCACCTCCGTGGTGCTGGTTTTATCGCTGCCTCCTGCCTCCAGGAGGACTCTCTTTCTTTCTCTCCCCCTGTTCCTTCTCCCAGACTCCGTTTCGTAAACCCCCATCCGGGTAAAGCCTTTCTTGCCCGTCGTGGTACCGGGAGCACTTGCCTACGTACGTACTGTCAGCTGTAAATCCACCGAAAAGCATCTACGGGTATCAAGAAACAAGTCCGGGTCGCAACGACGCTTGAGCTTTTAAACCTGCATGAGAGTGTAGCGTGCAATTTCGTAACGATCTGCGCACGCAGGTGCTATCCGAGTGGAACAACGAGAAAAAGTTGCCGCCTAAAATGCACCCCGCGATACGCTCGAGAGAGTACTTAGGGTTTTTTTATCGATCGCATTTGTCATTAATGTACAGCGTGGTGAAAATACCCGGGAATGAATATTCATCGGAATATTCGTGCTTCTATCATAGCGGAGTGAATAAAATTATGACGAAGCAGAGTTTCGTATTATAAGAGTTCATAAAAATATTCCTCTTCATATTATATTTTAAAATTATTATAAAATTAATAAAAAGTAATTATAAAGAGGTTAAAGAGTATTTATATGTATATACGTAAAAATGCTCATATATACATATATAGAGCTCATTTTATATAGTTACATAAAATTATAATATTATTATAATATTATTATAATATTATTTTAAAATATGAAATGTATATATATATATATATATATATATATATATATAATTTCTATAAAGATTTTAAATGATTTGAAATTTACTACACAAAATTATATTTCTATGACTAATTTTATGCACATCATATTTTTACACAGTTTTAATGTAAATATGTCCCGACATATATTTTGATTTGTATGTACTTATGTGGTTAAATTTATGTGGTTTCTTTTCTATTACGTGTTTAAATATTACATGACAGAATTTATAAATAGAATTTAACTCAAATTTTTTATTGCAATTATATATCATCTATATAAAGTGAATTTTTGTCATACTGAAGCTTATCAGGGTGACGCTTTATTTTGATAGTTAAGATCGATAATTAGTATATTAATTCATCGACCTCTTATCCCGACGAAGCATCCATTCAAGGCCAGACCACATAATAAATTACGTGCAACAAACTGAACTACAAGGCGGCCAAAGAAGGCGACTAAGAGACGTTTTTAGAGTAACTTCGGCGCGTCGATGCGAAACTCCTTCTTTCCTTCACCTCTGCTTGATTCGTCTACTTCGATGTTGCCGCGTTCACGTCATTCTGTCGGCCTTTTTGCTTCGAGATACTTTCCCTTTGACCGACAGGAGTAGATTGGATATTTTTCCTCGTAGAGCACCTGGCTTTTTCCTTACTACACAAGGTGGTCCAACGAGAGACGCGGCTAGGGTTCACCTTTGCGTTCCACATTTTCCCGAACTCGCACACGCATACCGAACGAATCACAGGCGGGACGATGCCGAAGGTGGTGCACAATTCGCAACAACCAAATCGGCAGCCGATGCTGCGCGCGAAACAACTCGTCGTATCAACATTCTATTTCGTTTCCCATTACGTAAACGTCTGAAGCACGCGATTTATTTGCTTTATTTTTCGAACGGAATGTTCTTTGGCAGAACCTCAAAGGCAAGTCGGGTCCGCGTTTGCCCCTTCCTCGCTCTCCATCTTGCTCGTCGTCCTTTTTCCCCATCTCTCTATCTCTTCCTCTCTTTTTATCTCTTCTTTCTAGGCTACCCTTGCTCTCGTAGACCGACGACTCCTCACATATGATTACCATCGACGTGAAGCGAGCTAATATCCGAATTTTTGCGATTCCTTTTCCGGGATATTGAAAGCCATTTTCCTCCCACTCTTTGCCTTGTCTTCTTCCATTCCGAAACGCTGGGCTCTGTCGGAATATACCGCCTTGCCTCTTTATGGATTCATCGTAAAGATCGAGCCAACCAAAAATGGCCAGACATATCGATCGCGAAGAAATGAGAACGCGGGGTTATTTTGTTCCATAAACTTGCCGCCGTCCAACTTACCAGATTGGAAATGGAAATTTTACGATCACATCGTCCGATTAAATCGGACAAGAGCTAAATATCATCGTGATGCGTATCCACGAGTAGTAATTATATAATCGGCCGT